TGCGACACCACCTGAAAGTTGCGCAATCCCTCGAGCAACGTACGGTGACGTCGAGTGCGCGATGGATCTTACACTCGTCTTAGAGTTGTATTTCGCACGACGGCAGGTAGGCGGAAGAAGTACCTAGGTACTGATCTCGCGTTACTGAACTCGAAGATCCAAAGTTTTCCAATAGACGTACCGTACAAGTTGATGACCGAAAAGATTTCTGAACACATCCGATGATGCCACTTGATGCACAGCAATTAAAACTGTACTTCCATACAGAATTCCACTGGATGAAGGTGAAGGTGAAAGTGAGTCGGGATGAGCGGGGGTAAGTATAAGCTTCGGTTTATACCTCAGATTGCAACCTTCTTCTACTAGTCATGATCTTTATAGTGAACTCTTCATCACGACTCTTATTCTCGTAATTGAGCCTTCAACTTTAGTAATCTTCTCAATCACCGTCTCCAGAGGGAGAAAAGTTAGCACGCTGGCTACTTCAAGGAAGCGCAATTACGAAGGTGAGTAACCGCCGGTCAAAACAACTGTGCCGTGACCTAACATCAAGCCAGATTGTATTGCAATGTCGCCAGCCGGAGGCAATGCAGAAGTTATCGCCACGAAGGGCGATGTCATACTTCAACTAGGCAAAGTCGGAGTCGGAGATGGAGTACGCAATGTTCTTGTCTCATCCGTGGTTCTCAGCCTTGCTTCGCCAGTCTTTGCCACCATGTTCGACGGTCGCTTCTCCGAGGGTCAGAGTCTTTCTCCGGCTTCGCCACGTACAGTCCCGCTTTCGGACGACGATCCTGAGTGTATCACCATGATCTGCAAGATCGGACACATGCAGACGTCGCAACTTCCGACCACGCTCACCGCCATAGACTTGTTCAAACCTGCGCTCGTGTGTAACAAGTACGATTGTGTCGGTGTAGTCCGTGCGTGGGCTATAATATGGGTTGCTGCATTACTCGAGATGCCTGCAGCTCAAGATTTCGAGAAATTGTTTCTTGCTACACATCTGCTTGATCTGTCCGGAGAGTTCTCCAGAGTTTCTCAGAGCTTAATACGCGATCAATCAACAACGTTCAGTATCGTTAAAGCTATGGCTGGTCAAGAGTTTCTACCCTGGACTGTGTACCAGTGTATACTGCTTGGTCAAATGGCATATCGGCAGGAAATCAACAAGGCATTTGGTTCGATTGTCACCGGGAAAGAGAGATGCAGTGCATCCCAGCGGTCCACCTGCATGTTTCTCCACAGCCTCAAAAAATGCGGCATATGGCCTACACACGATCACTCGGTGCCGGCTATCAAGTCTAAGCTTGAAAACGTTGGCGAAGCTGCCTTTCCTGCCGACAGCAAGCGATGTGCAAGCTATCAAAATCTCTGTATCTGTGGGGCTGTTAGTTGTACGAAGAGAAACCTTGTATATGAGCTCGACAAGATCTACAACGCAGTACAGGGTCTTTGTCTGAAGTGTGTTCGACACAAAGCCTTTGGAGAAAGCCGAGCCCAGTGCGGCGCCCACCTGATATCCGGAGCTATGGTCTATCTTTGACCGTCCTACAAACATCGCCCCAGAACGCGCATGGCCCGGTCATCGTTTGAAGAACACAGTTGTGGAATTCTAGAAATTCCTCCAGTCCGTGTGTTTCACATCGACCAGAGGCGTAGAGCTTGACATGTTTCGATATCTTGCTGGTGCTGAGCTACAAGGTGGAACGGTTCTAACAACTGGTCCGGAGTCAACTCTTTCATCTACATTCACGCACACTGCGTCAACACTGGAAGCAATGCTATGTATGCACGAAGCTATACAAATCATACTAGAAAGCACTTGCCGAATGAACGAGCTAGCGGATATCCATGGTATTCAACCTCGGTGAATCTATCCCAGCATATTGCAATAGTTCCTCACTCTGAATGGTAACATATCCGTAAACAATTGACAACCAACTCCTAGTTTATGTATATACAATCCACCAAACGCTTATTGTGTTACTCGTGCATGCATTTGCCTGGCTACTGCGCTGTCCTAATGGAGACCACCTAGAGGATCCTCCGGTCTAAGTGCCTCTGAAGTGACGTGACGGAACTCGTCTGTATTACTAGATTGATAAAGAACATGATATCTACTAAGCTTGAGGGGAAGGCGCAGCAATGGTGGCGCATCAACGCACTATGAAGACAGCAACAATCCGGTGATGTTCTGAGTAAACGCCGAGTCCACCAATAGAGTACTTTCGATCATGTATACCGTGGCTCGTGTGGCGGCGGAAACAGGTAACGGCAGAACTTGTACGTGCGATGGCTGCATGGTGGCGGGCTGAAGTAGAACGATCTCTTCGTGGGAAACAATTTAGGCGCGAAAAGGGTTATATGCGCTACTTCCAAGATTCTCTAGTTGGGGTGGTGGAAGTGTAGACCAGCTCGGTCGACTGCAAGTCCGTTTACTAGAAATAGCTCTGAGTCTTCCGGGATATGGCGCTATTCCGGACTTCATGGGTGATGTGTAATGCTGCCGAAAGCGCTAAGCTGGGGTCAGCGGAGATGGCGCGTGAGCTTGCACGTATGTCGCGGGAGATCGACAGGAGCGGCCAGCGTTCGTTCATCATGTCGGACTTTGGTGTCGTGGTGTAAGGAGAGATATGTACCGAACTTCGAAAGCTTCTAAGAAATGGTCAAGGAGAGACATACAGCTTAATGGCGTCAAATATGTCATCTTATCGTCCTGCTTGCCTACCTAGGTACTAACTTCACCGCTCATGTATGTGTTTACATTTTGACCATTCTTACACTCAGATCACGCAGATACTGTGTTCTGCAAATTCGTAAACAAAGCAAACTGAAAGGCTCCGTCTTCTGATTTCATGTAGTAGTACAACGGGTCGATGTTGTGAGCGACAACCAGGTCCAACTCTCGACTAGCGCCTCGGCTAAATGGGTGCTCAACCCTCCTTCCGCTTTGATCTTTGAGTACTCTTCTCCCCACCACTCTTCGCTTACATGTGTGACATATCTACAGCGGCACTTCTGGCTAAACGAAACAAGCCCCGAGGCCGGTCAATGCCTGATCTTTTAGTTCTTAATATCTCTACTGGGTGATGATTCGCCATGTTTCAAGGGATTTGGCACATGGCGCATCCGCCCTGGTAGACCTGTGCACACTTGCACCACGCCTCGGCTCTTAGCACAATGCTGCATACGCACAAACTCTCGTGCTTTTAAGGCCCAACGTTTGATATTAAGTACAAGGTCACGCCGTGTGCTGATCGAGTAGCGTCTTCCTGTTCATTTGACACCACCGAGGTATTTGGGGTTCGTGTTCCTCAACTTGGGAAGCGAGACTGTACCCGTCATCACGAGGAGGGGATCCGAAATTGGTTTTCTGAGGAGATTAATCTATCGTGCAGCATACTTGGGATAACCTTCGCAAGGGCATGCCTCCTCTCCACCTACGATATCAGTTTCTGATCGTAGTGAGGCGGCGTGGTGATTTTGCAGGGTTAATTCATTGTTGGAAAGCGCGGCTTGCTGCGTATGAGCTGTGCGACGGCCGATCAATATAAAAAGTCTGGGTACTTCCTCTCTCTAGAGTAGATTTCATTTCGCTACGATACTACCGACAGAAAGCTTACATTTCGTCTCTCTTCTCTCGGAACCTGAGTCAACCCCTTCGTATCATGTTTGCCAACATACCGACTACGCTTCTTCTTTTTGTCGCCTCCTTCGCTCTCCCTACGTATGCTGGCATTCAGCAAACAGATTTCACTGGTATTGGCCACATTTACGTCCTAGCCTCTGACAACTGGCAGACGGCAACCCCAGAGTCTAGTGTGGGGTGTCTAGATGCACACGGGAAATTTGTCTACGACAGCGGCAGTGCTAAGGAATGCGGTGTGTTCAAGCGTCTAGATGACTATCCTTATACACTCAGCACTCAAAATGGAAACTGCACGTTCCAAGACGATAGCCAGGAAGAGAATGTCGATAGTCACTACGGGAAAGGTGATTTCGCGTGGAACTGTGGAGAGCGCAACGTTGACATCTATGATGAGCTATACACAATAGTACGTGTCAATTCCAGTTCGCCGCATTGAAAAACTTCGCTGATACGTATATAGACAGGATTTCCATACGTTTTCCTCTGCTTCGGCGATATAGCATGCTTCTACGACGCCAAGCGCATCCCTACCGCCAATGAATCCCTTTCACTATGGCAGTTTCGCTGGGGGTCACAGCAACTGGGCATCACGCCAGGGCACATCCAACTACAGCTCATGTGGAAGAAACTTGATGGTCTGCCTAAAAGGGAAAAGGCGAGCGATATACCGGGTCCAAGGGTACACATTAGTGAGGGCTCACAGATAACATTGTTGGGCAAGAAGTCGAAGGCGTAGCGGAGTCAAGACTATGCGATCAATGGCGGACTTTATCAGCGGAAGTGTTAAGCTTTCAAGTCCAATTCGTAGGTATCCTTATCTGCTACATGGATATGTTGCGTCAACTAGCTCCATGTCTCGTGATGCGTTACTTTTGATTGGCGGCAGATACTGATTATACCCTGCAGTCGATCAACTTGAAACGCGGCAGTAGCACGGATGTCTGTATTGTAATATCACATTGCAGCTGTTTCAGATCAGTACGTTGCAACCCTAACGCCGGAGCTTGTGAGGTGACTGCAAGTTCTGGATTCCAAGTGTCTAGCATAGGAGTGGATAAGATGTGTTCTTGTATTAGACATTAATTCATAGATCCGATCGTACACGCTCTCAAGTCTACACCAATACTGCGCCTAGCTCCAGTCTTACATATGGTTATCACATAGGCCTTCAGAGATGTTTCCAGAGATAAGCCCATCGCATGTTGTCCGACCAGTCTTGCAACCCCGACGGAACTGAACAAGTCAGGCTCATAGTTCCGTGGCATCAATGTTGAACTTTTAGCCAAGATAAAGATACTTTTTTTCAGAGAATCAATAGAACATACATGTATCTAAGAAGAACGTGAGTTCATACCTGACCTGAAAGGTCGTTGTTGGGGTCGTGAGGGGTAGTCTCGAGCTTAACAGCGCCGTGAAATCCGGGAGCGTTTGGATCAACAGAATGGCAGGTGTAGGAACCGTATTTGCTAGCTAGAGCAGGAGGGACATCATGGACATCGCCGCAGCCGACCGTGAAGACGGCTTGCTCACCTGATGTCGATCCGCAGCCAGTGTCCTGTCACTTGTCAGCCTACTTACTGGAGTATACTCCCATGGATATGACGCACTTTCCAGAAGTCGCACTCGATGGATTCGACGCATATCATGATAGACCAGATATTGTTATCGTCACTATGACGCGTCAGTGACTATCATGAGAGAATTGGCAGCGTTGCGTACAGCGGATTGCACTTAGGGATCTTCTTGTCCATGAGGAGAAACTCGGGCTTCGAAGCGTACCCCGGCTGAGAGTAAACCGCGCCGACATCACGGACATCGTCGTTGTTTACCATGCCGATGTGCGGGCTAGGAGCTGCGATCGCCGTGGCAAGAGCGAGGACAGTGACGAAGAGGAATTTCAGAAAGCTCATAGTTACAGTGGGTAGTGATATTTATACGTAGTAAGAAGGTAAGAAATCGTAGAACTAACGGGTTCTGCGAGTGGCGGTTGCAACTGTGCGGAGGTATATGGATACATGTTTGGGCGCGCGTATGCATACCTATCCTTATATACTATGATTACCACTCGGGCCAAGCTCAAAGTGCGTGATCAAAAGCGAAGCAACTGCCAAGATGCAGCAGTGAATCTTCAAGATTCGACTTTCCCTGCATGTGACTGCCACGTAAGGCGAGTACAGTGGCCTAGAGCGCGCTTTTCCCCCTAATACAGGGAAACCAGCAAGATAACGGTCCACTTATAGATGTGGTGCCACAATTTGAACGCGCAAGACATTGGCGAAGGTGATACCGTGGAGCAGGACTACTACGAAAGCGAGTTCAAGTATGAGGGTAATGGTGCAAATAAGCGCTTTCTAGCATAGACAAAACGGCGTCAGCATTGCAGTCTTGCATGGTAGTAGCGACATCTTGGTCGGGTGTAAATAGTGGGATATTGATGGACGGACAAGACATGTGTACATTGCGTTCTCGCTTCGATCTGCGTAGCATCTCTCCTGCTCGGTAACAAGTACCTGGAAACCTCCTCTAAAACTGACCTGTGCAGGATTTGGATTGACGTCTTCAGTATTACACCAGCACTATAAAGTCACGGTGTACCTGATGCCGTTCTAGTTACCGGCAGCCAGTCTCCAGCAAATGTTAATCAGTGCCGCCGTTGCAGTGACATGTGCAGCAGTCCTTGGTAAAGCTACATTGCTCAGATAAGACGGGTAATGCACAAGCAATTTGGCAATAACGTGATATCCCAGCAGATTCACTACCTGCGCGTCTTGAGGCGCGAGAACCTGTGCAAGAGCAGCAGCGAGTGCAAAAGCTACAATCAAATCTTCGTTAGCGACTCTCTTCACTGGCGGATTTGACAGCCTTCTTCAACCATCAGCTTACCTGGGAAGTTTTCCATGAGTGCATAATGCGCACTTCTCAACCTCAACGGCAACCCATCCAGCTTGTGAATATGTTTTCTCGAGTGCTCAATGTCCAGGCCCTCTTCTCGTCCCATGGCTTGCCCTGCCGCAGAGAGAGCACCCGAGGCGCCGAAAGTCCAGAATAGGTAAATGGCTGAGAGTGCGGGAATAGCGCGACCGGATGTTATTGCTGTTGTCTAAGGAGAATTATCAGTACAAGATGAAGAGAGAAGCTGAAGTGGGAAAAGGGGGAGGCGTACAGTAACTCCAGGAATTAACTTGATGAGAGCGTGCACCAAGGACTGCATCACGCTGTTTGGTTTTGTGAGGTATGAACTTCGCGACAACGATTAGTTTCTAGCTCGACTTGGGTGGTTGCGCTCTTGAGATGAGGCTCAGGAACTCAGACGCACGTAACAGGTATGGCAGCGAGGTACATTGGTGCAAAAGCAGCGATCATCGCACCTGAAGGGTTGACACTACAACTTATCAGCAATTGTTCCATCATTGGAAATCATTACGAGAATACTCACACGCCGTTTTCAGCCGCAACGCGCTTAGCCTGCTCTTTCTTTTCGTCCGCCATATTGTCAGACTTGTGTTCGTACATAAGAATCCTACTGGGAGGAAGTTGCAGGGCTATAACAGCATGCGAGAGACATGATCTGACCAACTATATATATTGCGCAAACAATACCCATTGTCGTATCTAGGCTGGCCTATCGATGACGTGGGGCGATCCGCGGCGCAGGGGTGGAGTTGTAGCGGAACTATATCCTTGTCTGACAATTGGCCGATGGACCTGCCACACCCGGTTAACCCGCACGACCGTGACAGAATGGGAACAGCTGCCGTACGTGCGGGGGTGATCATCCGTCAATGCAAGGTTATTTGGAAGCATTCAAGTGTATGAATTCAAAGAACAGATGGTTTGAATGTTCAAACTCCGTCATCCGAGGTGTCCTTTTCCGGACGGGTCTGTCCGCTTCTACATGAGTACGGCAGTGGCTCCGAATAGCTTGCTTGATATGGACGGAATCTCCACTTCTAGTTCAACATACCAATGCAGTCTCGATAGTATCATGAAGAAGAAAGGAAGATGGTCTAGGCCTACGTTCTATGCACCTCGTCGTTCTGGCCAGCAAAAGAAAACAGTTTGAAAGCCCCTCATACACTATACCTAACTGCTAACCTTACATCTTCCCGCTCATTTCTCAACTCTGCCCGATCATCATACTGCGCATTCCGCCGATGTTTCATCACCACCTTCCTCGCGCCGATAACAAGATGGTCGACCATCGCGTTCTCAAACTCATCTTCAAGGGGATTCGCATCATGTATCAGCATGATGAGTTGTGCACAAGTGATATTACGTGAACGTGGCGCATCAACCGGCGTTAGTGACATGCTCTCAGCCACGAGATTCCAGGTTCTAGCCCAGAGGTCGGGTACGAAAGTATCGATGGCGGGGGTTCTGGCAGAGGAGGCTGAGAGGGTATATGACGACGAGGAAAATAAGGAGGGTGAGCGGTGGCGGTGGCGGCGGGACCATAAATTGTGAGAGCGAGGTGGTGGGGTGTTAGACGAGTCTGAGGAAGACAACGAAGGAGAGCCAGAGAGAGATAGAGAGGCTCCTCTGCTACAACGTGCACGACCTCCATCCTCCGGTCTAGTTCCCTGCCGCTCCCGCATGCCTTCGTCTTCAACACCACTTCTTTCACTACCTAGGTATCATCACATTCGTACCTTCCACTATCACGCTCATCCAAATGACCACCCATCGGATTATAGAGAACAGCCTTGCAACTTGGGCATGTCTGGCCGTGTCTCAGATGGTAACAATGGAGTATAGCAGCTTGATCATATGAAGCATTGAGACATTTCGACCAACAACTCTCCTAGAACAGTATCGCAAGCTATCGGTTCTAGTTTCAAAAGTGAGCGCTCTTAAACCTGTACAATACCCAACTATGTTCCTACCTCGCGACTAGGAGTATGTACAAAAACAAGTATTATTTGTATTCGCTATTATGGTCGTGATATCGTCGCTTTCGTGAATAGAATGACTATACGAATGCCCAGACATGTAAAGAAGCTCCAAGTTTTGTAGCGAACAGAGATAGAAGAAAGATAGTACCCGGGCCCACACACAGTGTAAGGAAGAGGGAGATGCAAACGGAGTTGACAAAAGGGAAAGAGAAGAGAAACTAGTTGAGAAAGGGGGAACAAGAGCTCCGGCAACGCCTTCCCGTGCACGCCAGGTGCTATGCAAGATATTCCAAGTTAGAGTAGCCGACGTCCACTGTCGCCTTAGACAAGCTTTCGCCAACATGCTCTTGGTATGCAGAACCAGAAACTGGGACTCCAATCATCGGTGTCCGAGTCAGAAGATCTCGTGGCCCAACCCTCCAAATCCATCATCACTGATCTTGACCTTGACTTTCTTTCCCTTGCTCTCCATATCGTGAGGTATGATAGGCACATCAGGTACATCCATACCGTCGGGCACAACCCTGACAGGCTCCTCACTCCTCAAGTTGTTTCTCGAGAACCTCTTCACCAACCTCGAACTGGTTCTCCTGGGACTCTTGCCTGCAGGGCTCTTGACGCTCTTGGGGCGTTTTATGCTGCGCTCAGGCATCTCGGCTTCGGAGGCGGAGTGGGCGGAGAGAAGATCGAGGTCGCCCTCGGAATCGGTGTATATGGGTTTGTATTCGCCGTCCGAGTCGTTGACGATGGCCTTGCGCTTCTTTACAATCTTGCCGATGCTCTGAGGAGGTTCAGTGACTGGGGTGGCACTTGGCGATCTGCCGTCGTTTTCGCTTTGCGTGACGTCGGGTGTAGGTGGTGCGAAGTCGGGGATGCGTGGGACAGGTGGTACGTCGCTGTAGAGGACCGTCTGGAGCTCCTTGCGGGCGGAGGCGAGCTTGTATTCGAGGTCCGAGACGCGCTTGGTGAGCTTCTTCTGCTTGTACAGATCCTTCTTGCTCGGGGTGTGACGGAGAGTTGGTGTTCGTGGAGCTCGGATAGGTGTGGCTGCCTCGGCCATGGCTGCGGTCAAGCCCAGCTGCATCTTCTCGGCCGCGACAGGCTGAGATGGGGTGCCAACCTGCCGCGACTTCATGGCGGGTCGCACGTAGACCTTTGGCGTAGGGAGAAGACCGAGGTCTTTGGCCTCGTGGTACGCAATCTCGGCGGCCTTCTTGCGCTCCTCTAGTATCTGCTGGTACTGGTCCCTCTCGCGCTCTGCATCTGTGGCCCCGGCCTTGCGCTTGCCCAGGACGCTGCCGAACATGGACGCGAATGCGCGCTGGAGGCGGGCGTATGTCCCCTCGGACGGCGTCGATGCCGATCCATGTATGGTTGTCACGACGCCAGAATCTGAAGGCGTCGCGCTCCCGGAAGCTGCCCGTGAAGAAGACTTGACCAGGCGAGGCACACGATTCGCAGAGCTCTTTCGCGAAGTCGGCGGCTTCGAGTTCTCCTCATTGAACTGCTCAATCAGCTCCTCAATGCCAATGTCCTTCCATAGCTCGTCGGGCGGCGGTCGTATGCTGCCATTCGTGTTGGTGTGCTCCTTGAAGCGCGATGCGCGCGGCTGTGTCGACTCGTCGACGTCGTCGCTCATGGCCTGAGCTGCTGCGCGCGTGACGGGCATCCGTTTATCGTGCTCGCGGCGCCAAGATGCAGTTTTGTGATTGGGACAAGAGGAGGTGGAGCAGGTTCGAGGGTGGAATGTGGGAAGGGTTGCGATATTTTGTTTGGACTTGTTGGTCGAGAAGTTGCGCTGGGTGGTTGCAGCTTTGGTCGGACATAAACAATTACAAGGTATCGTATCCGAGGTGAGGAGGACCCTGTCATGCACGACTTGGCGCCCACTGATTGCTCGCTGTAGCCCGCCACGGCCCGTGACACGTTGTCCGCTGTCCTTCACCGCTTGCAAATTGCAAAATCTTCTTGCCAGCAGTTGAGCCGGCCACGTTTCGCAATCTTCTTGATGAACATGTTCTGTTTGTATTATCAACGCTACTGTACACTCGGTCGAGTCTTCTATATGCAGTTCCGTGGTACAACACTTGCACGGGTTGCCTGAGCATCCACGCGTTAGGAAAGCAACCATGCAATCTATCTAGGTATCCTCTTGCGGCCACCACACGCCAAACTTGCAAATGCTTCCTCTACAACTTCGCCTTGGGCTTCGACTCTTCTGCCAGCGCCTCCTCATAACAGTCATCTAGATGCTGCCTGAAGGCCTTGACCGTCTGCGGGCGCTTCAACTTCAATCTGTTTTCTTTGTTAGTCCGTCATCCATCTTGCACCGTGAAGTAGAGAACTTACGTTGGGGTCAAAAGTTGGTTGTCAATGGTCCATGGGTCGACAAACAACCTTACAGCCTTGACACGCTCATAGCTGTTGAACTTGTTCTTTCGTCCCACCTTGTCTAGCTCCTTAAGGACTGCCTGCTCGACCTTCTTGTTCTTGCACGCCTCCTTCAGCTTCTCAATGTCACCTTCCGGAATTTTCTCGCCCAGCACCTTGGACGCGAATTGCGGGAAGATGTCTGGCGCAACACCAAAGAGAGCCACAAGGAACGACTGGTGCGAATCGCCGTGCACATAGCCAGACGCGAGGTAGCTGCAGTTGGCAAGGTACACGTTCTCAATCCGCTCGGGTGAGATGTACTCTCCCTGTGCGAGCTTAAGGACGTTCTTCCTGCGGTCGATGATCTTGAAGCGGCCGAGTTCGTCAACAGAGCAGATATCGCCAGTATGGAACCAACCGTCGGCGTCAATAGCCTTGGCCGTCTCCTCCTCATTACGGAAGTACTCTTTGAACTGCGACGCAGAGCGGATCAGGAGTTCACCACGGGGATGCGGCTTGTCAGTAGACATGTACTCCATATCAGGCACGTCGAGCAGAGCACACTCTGTGTTGGGCCCAACGCCACCACAGTTGCCAGCCGAGAAGTCACCCTCATGCTGGACAAGCGCAACGGCATACGTCTCAGTCAGTCCATATCCCTGTGTGAAGTTGCTTCCAAACACAACACGGAGGAATTGATGCAGACTAGGATCAATGGGTGCAGAGCCACTGACCAAGACCTTGCAACGATCCAGTCCGAGACCGGCAGAAACCTTCTTAGCCCAAATGCGGTCGTAGAGCATGTGCTTGTTGGTTGGGTTTTGCTTGTCGTTGACGGCCGCCAGCTTGGTCGATACCACGTGTCGGGATAGTGCTCCCTTAATGCCAGTTGCCTGGACAGTCGCTTCCTTGATCTTGGCTCCGAAGCGGTTGTACAGCCTTGGTACACCCGAAAAGATGGTTGGTCGTAGCATCTGCAAGTCGTCTACGAGCTCTGCAATGTTTCCGTGGAAGTAACCAATAGCAGCGCCAGTTGCCAGCCCACTGTGTTCTCCCAACCGCTGATAGATGTGCGCCAAGGGCAAGAAAGAGCAGATAATCTCGCTAGGTCCGCTACCCATGATGACCATGGAAGTGCATGTTCCGGCATGCGCGTTTCGGTGGGACAAGACGACACCCTTGGGGTTGCCTGTTGTGCCAGATGTGTAGTTGATGGTAACAATGTCTTCGGGTGTAGGCGGGTTCATCGGAATCGGTTGCCTCTCACCCAAAGCCTCAACATCGCGGATGTAGTGGATGGCAACACCTTGCTCACTAGCAAGCGAATTCAGGAGGTCGCCCTTGGACTCGCCAGGGAGCTCGCCAGCTGAAAGTGGGTCGAGAACCACGATAATCTTGAGCGAGGGTAGTCGAGGCTTCAGCTTCAACAGTGCCGTAACATGGTTCATTCCAGCAACCACACAGTTCAACTCGGAGTGGTTGATAATGTATTCGGTCGTGTCCGGGCCTAGAGTGTCGTAGATGGAGACCGTGTAGAGGCCCTGGGACATGCACGCCAGATCAGTGATTTGCCATTCCGGCCTGTTCTGACACCACAGTCCAATACCGTACTTGTGTGCAGCAACGCCAGCTTGTTTATGTAGATGTACAAGACCAGCGCCGAAGTTGGTTCTCCGCTTGGCGATTGTCTCGTAGTCTTCCCAAACGTAAGGGCCGAAGGTCTTGGTAGCGGTATCATATGGGCGGTGTCCCAGGCATCTGTTCTTGGGCCATTTCGCAACCGAGTTCTCAAACGCTTCATGTGGTGTTCTGATCTCGGGAACCAGGTGGTCCAGCAGAGGCTTGTCTGTGAATCTCCAGTGCCTGTAGATAGCACTCCTTCCCTCTGCCTCCGAGCCCGGCAACGCTACACTGTAAGGCTGTCCCTTGGCCGGAGGCTCATGGAGCTCGGTCGCGCGATCGATCTGAGCATCTGTAGATCTGAACATATTTGCTCGCCTTTATATATACAGGTTCGATTTGATAGGCTTCGAGTGGTCGCTTCGTCCGGAACGGTCGAAAGATACGAGTTCGTGTCGCGTGTGGAGAAAATGCCGACGAGATAGTGAGAGCTTTCTACTTTATAGTATACATCAGCGAAGCTCTTGGTAAACGACAGTCGATGATGGAAGTTGGCGCATGGCACGCCTGAGCTTCCAGCTTCCAGCTTCCATTACGCAGGTGACCTCACATACCTATAGCCCTAGCCACTAGTATCTCTCCTCTTCTCTTCAACTGACAATTATGAACGGAAAAAGATGCAACAAGTCTAGACAACTGTAGTCGGTCAAACAGAATAGAGAAGATGAGACAGGACAGCGATTCGAAAGCAAGGGTTGATGCTACGAACTAAGCCAGAGCCCACAATTTCCCATGGCGCAAAACGTGCCTCGGCAAAGTCGTCATGACGCGCCTGTCCAATTGAAACGAAGATGAAAACTGGGCCAAGGCTCATGCTGCGCTCTCAGCACCGAGAGCCAACGTGTTGCCGGTCATGTGCGCCAAATGTAGCTGAGCCCCCGTGTCTCGGCGCCCGCTTTTCTCCAGACTTGCGCATCAGCGCCTCCCTTGCATGTGTTCGCGGGGAACGCTACGGGGCACTCACCCTTGGTTAGCACTGAGCAAGTTGCGCTGGCGTTGAGTGAATACATTCATTCGACGAGAGGGTATTGACGTGCAAATGCGCATGTGCAAGATCGCGCTTTCACATGCCGCCCCAGTGTGAGATCTTCCCCAGGAAACCACGCGGACACAACCCTTGTTCCGCGATGGAGCGGCCCTATTCTGATTGGCGGGGAAGATGCCTCGGCTTGCATTGTTGCGTTTTCGGCGGCTTTGACCATCACGCACCAAACTAAAGAACGAGCATGCGACCTCGTACGAGATATGGGAGAGACGATTCAAGGAACAGATTACAATTAGTATAAGGAAAAAGTCCGCAAGTCCGACTGCTCTCCCGGGCATTCACAACATAGCCTTCACCTCTGCCGTATCCAACGCCTCACAGTCTAGGAATCACTAGACACTCCTAGGTGGAACCAGACAATGAAGCAGAGGGCTCAGCACTGCCAGTTTTATCCGCATTCTCCGGCTGACCCTTCTCCTGAGGCTTCGTTGCCGACTTCGAGAACGATTGTTCAAAGTCTGCGATGATGTCGTCGATGTGTTCTGTGCCGACTGAAATACGGATGAGATCCTGTACCCTGTCAGCAAGTCATAATTGTGAAGTCAAGTGACGATTTGCCTACCTCGGTTACACCAGAGTTGATCTTCTCTTCGTCGCTCAGTTGCTCGTGTGTTGTTGTCCAGGGATGGATAGCCAGCGTCTTTGAATCGCCAACATTCGCTACGTTGGAGATGAGCTTGAAGTTGTCTACAACCTGGCTACCTGCTTCACCGCCTCCTGTAACACCAAAGGATAGTACGCCTCCGAAACCACGCGGTAAGTACTTTTTCGCTAGCTCGTGTGACGGATGACTCTCGAGACCAGGATAAGATACCCAGCTTACGTTTTTGTTGCTCTCAAGCCACTTCGCCAACTTTAGTGCATTGTATGCGTGTCTCTCTGCTCGTAAGGAGAGCGTCTCCACACCAAGGAGCAGCTGTTGGGCGGCGAATGGATTGAGCGCTGCGCCCAGGTCTCGCTGGATTTCGACACGTGCTCGGATGATGAATGTAATGGCTCCAAATGTCTCCCAGAACTTCAGTCCATGGTAACCGTCTGATGGCTCGACCATTTGCGGGAAGCGCTTGCCGTGCTTACCCCAGTCGAACTTCCCGCTATCGACTATCACACCACCAATCGTAGTTCCGTGACCTGTGTATTTTAGCTTGTGCCTACCAGAGAGTCGCAAACACATACCTCCAATCCATTTCGTTGCAGAGTGCACAACAATGTCAGCACCATGGTCAATAGGCCTGCAGAAGTATCCCCCGGCGCCAAATGTGTTGTCGACAATGACAGGAATACCAGCCTCGTGCGCAATTGCTACAATCTTCTCAAAATCGGGAACATTGTATCTTGGGTTGCCAATGCTTTCAAGCTTGCATGGGTTAGCCATTGTTCAGAGAGTTCTTCGCGTAAACTTACATATATCGCCTTCGTCTTCTCATCGATAGCAGCCTTGAAGTCATCTGGTTTGTCACCATTGATGAACTTAGTCTGCACCCCCAAACGTGGGAAGAAGACCTTGAGCTGGTTGTACGTGCCTCCATACAAGTTCGAAGTCGCTATGATGTTGTCTCCAGCATGCGCCAGAGCGGCTATGGCAATGAACTGAGCAGCTTGACCGGATGCTGTTGCCAGTGCTGCCACACCACCCTCAAGCGCAGCGATACGCGCCTCGAGTACACCGACGGTGGGGTTCCCTATACGACTGTATATGTTGCCAAATTCCTTGAGGCCAAAGAGATTCGCGGCATGCGCGCTATCATTGAAGGTGTATGACTACTGATGTTAGTCCGAGACTTGTTCAAGGGGAGTCTTTGTCGGTTCACAACGTACTGTGGTCGCGTAAATAGGTACAGCACGAGAGTTCGTCGCTGGGTCTGGTTCATGGCCTGTTTCATCAATGTTAGCAGCTATGGAAAGAGAGAGACTGGAAAATGCTTACCAGCGTGCAATTGAAGCGTCTCAAAATTCTTGGACAATTTCTCGGACATTTTGAGTCCTGGTCTTCAGATTGTATATTGTCGTAATGTGTTGAGCGAAGGAGCTTCAGGCGTTCACGGTGCTGTTAGAGGTGATCGAGAGACGGAATTTGGAAAGAGGGGAGGACTAGACGATTAATTGTGCCAAAAGTCGCGTCCGTCACGTCATCCACTCCCACGCGGGTGTGGATTACATTGGTATCCAGAGCATCGTAGTAGCTTCCTACTTCGGAACTGTGCTGACAGCCACAGTCACACTCGTACCATGTTATCATTGGCTAGTGACAGGTATTCCGATGCCCTTTTGGGTATAACTTGAAAACCCTTTGTGTATCCGTTAACCCATTATGTGTAAGAGACGGCCATACTGTATGTCTCGATTGCATAGCGCACGTCCTGGTAGGACACCCAGAAATTGCGTGATCGTGTTTATCTGTTTTGGGACGCGGGGTAGGTTGGAGGGGTACTCTGGAGATGGGCCGGTTCCGGACGGACGCAAGGCTGATGAGATCCACACATGGCTAACACAAAGGCATCATAACTAGGGGTTGACAACGCACAGCGTGCCATAGATTTAGCCTACGGAATGTATCCAAACTACAAGCAACCTCCCATGTCGCATAGCCACGTATGTACTTTCTTATCCCATTATCCAGGTTCGCAACTTGGAGCCTGTGGGAAATAGAATCACGAGTTCATCAACACATGCAAGGAAAGGACAAGGCTCTCATTTTGTTGAGCTGTATGTTCTGTTCAGGACTTCCAAGCAAAATACACGGTAGGAATAATAGAGAGAAGGAAATAGAGCAAGTGATGGCTCGCTAGGGGTATGGGTAGTAAAGTGATGTTTTTGTGTAACAGGAAAATAAAAGGAAAGGTAGTGTGCAGCTCACCAGCTGACGTATGGGCAATAAAGCATTGAAAGACAAAATACAGGTGTACGATGGAAAGCTTGCCGTGACCAGATCGCGCATTCGTCGTACTCAAGGGGGTATAGATGATCAGAGCACATTAGATCCGTAACAGCACACATAACGCCGTACTCCACCAACAGATCCCTATGCAACGTACAGGCTGAAGACCATTCCTACTACGGCAACACGGCCGTCAGCAGTGAACAACTTCAGTGACCGACTGCAGGTACATGACGTTGACGTTGCGTTCCGTCCGCACGCCGATAGCTCATGGCCGCTCGGTCCATTGGCTCCTCCATGTCCGGAGAGTCGGCAGTATCGTAGGTGTAGCCGGCACCGGTCGGTTGAGGCCTGCTTCCTGCAACCATGCGTTCATTCAGGTGACGAGAATCGAAGGTGCTCGAGAAAGAACGTTTGTTGCTGGACCCGGCCGACATGGGCGGAAGACCCTGTGCCTGTGGGTTGAACTTGGGCAGAGCGTAGTTCTGGGCAGAACCGTCAGAGTTGACAGACATGGTGGCTGAGAGAGTACCGGGAGGCGATTGGTAAGAAGGCGACACAGGCTCCAGTTTGTCGGCGACAATGGGTCGCAATGATGGCAGCGCCTGGTGACTAGGCGTATGCACGGCACTAGGGGTAGATGAAGCGTACGCCTGTGGAGAAGTGTGCAGGGGTTGCAGAGGCTGCAAAGGCTGGCTCATTTGCTGCGGCCGATTGTACTGATCCATGGAGCCGTACGATTGCATCGAGTGGCTAGGTGCCGAGTATTGTTGGGTGGACGGCTGGGTCACAGACGGACGGCGGTACTCGACGGGGTGAGCATACTCGGGAGGCACCTGTTCCTGACGGGCGGGAGGCACCTGCTCATAGTGCGCCGGCTGCTGGTAGTTGGGGTATCCATACTGTTGGCTCACAGGCATTGGTGGCTGAGGCTGGTGCTGGCTCGAGTAGCTGCTGTGTTGCGGGTGCTGTGGATGTTGCGCATGTTGTGAGTATGCAGTGGAGTGTTGAGGAGACTGCATCATAGGCGCTGTTTGTGGAGCTGAGTACTGTTGCGAGTATTGGTGCTGTTGGCTTGACGCGTATGACGGCATCTGTGTGTAGGTAGGGTTCTGCGGTGGAGGCATCTGTTGCTGGTAGCTATTGCTAGCCGGGTAGCCATGTGCCATCTCTTCCATGCTCGGACGGCGTGGCGGTACCAGTGAGTGGTTGCTAGCATTGGAGACGGAGCGAGGACGGTTATCGAGAGGGGCGTTGGATGGTGGATGGTAGTTGTCGGGGGTCGCTGTTCCTCGAGCGCGATCGTAGCCACCGCCCTCCTCATCGTACTCGTCCCATTCCTTTGACGACTTGTTCTCACGGCGCCTCATCCTCACGTCGCGACG